ACTAGTTCCCAGACTGGTTCTTATACTAGTTCGTATGCTGGCTCCTAAACTGGTTCATATACTGGTTCGTACTGGTACTGATGCCAATACTGGTTCCTATACTGGTTTCTTTACTGGTTCGTTTACTGGTTCGTATCCGTTCCCTGAGGCATAACTAACTTTTAAGCATACACTCGACCAATCTTTATTTAACTCATTTAATTCATTATTCAATTCAACCCAGCTCATTTTTACACCCTGTACCCATTGAAACGGGCATATTGGCATTGTGGAAATGAATGTTACAGGCGGAAGCAGCACGCTACGATACCTTTAGGCATAAATATTCTTGAACAGCATCGGGTCGAGCGAGAGTCCGTACGCCTGTAACGTGCCGCACTCGGAAGCTGTAAAAGCAAGAGACTTAAATGCAGCTTCTCATAAGGCCCGCGCACCACAAGCTTAAATCAAATCATAGATAACTGAAACTCTTATCACGAAATCGATAAATATCGATTGTCAGCGTAGCTTTCTACAACATATCGAGGCGGTTTTTAAAGCAAGAGAGACGAAATCAAATATGTAGATTCCTGATAAATGATTATTATGATGTAGCTCTTGAGCATAAGGAGAGCCTGACCTTTGGAATGCCATCCCAAAATAGAAATTTGGGAGACATAGTCTAGGCTAAGGTATGCACACACATTTGCCTACCGCTATTAAGCCCTGAAACTTTCATATGAATCGGACTACAAGAACCAAAGTTATGCAAGAATGTATTCTGCATACTAGGGGGTAAAAGGAAGAAGAAGCACTCCTAAAAGAAGCTTTGACTGTTTGCTCAGTCGCTACAGGGTATCTATAAATGTCGGAGATGCTCGAATAGAGCGCTCATAATAGTCGTTTACGATTTGTGAACCACTTTTGAACCGGTTCACACGCCGTTAGCTGTGCAATAAGCGCGCACAGGGTATCTCAGCTCGAACCGGGTCCACGCATTATTTGATTGATTACTCAATTATCTTGTTTTTGAACGCCTAACATGATTATGCTTGATTATCATTGTGATTATTATTATAATTATGTGTTATTATTGAGCTGCCATTGTGCGGCAATTGAGCTTTCAACTAATCACTAGACAGCAACAATGGCAACAATTGTGTGACAATAATATTGTCTGCTTCTTCTTCTTCTTGTTGTTGTTGTTGTTGTCTTTTTGATGGCCAACACCAAAATGGCCGGCAGCTGAGTTTGAAGATCCAAGAGATGCGTTCATTATATGCTCAAATGTCCAAAAGCGAAACAACTTAATTACACAACAATGGAAACAACAACAACAACAAGTTGGAGTGCTCTAGTCGGGCGTGCATGACTGCTCGATACCTTGTAATGATTATCGAGCTGCCCATACACATACAATAGGCAGCCTACCTATACACACATTTCTCGAATAAATTGGTTGTTTTTTTTTCTGATTTTCATGAAAGAGTGCGAACACATTCACAAAGGGAAATATTTCGTATCTGTTCTTATCCTTTAACATAACCTCAAACTCGATACTCGATACAATTTCGTGAATCTTTGTTAAGCCATTGATGATTCTATGTATGCTTGTCTGGGACGAGCACTTTAAGAACCTACATACCAATTTTCAGGTGTCTAGCTCCTAAAGTTCGCGAGATAATCGAAATACAAGCCGACGGATCTGGCCTGATCTATCCGGATACATGGATAGTATATATACATACTCAAAGAAATTTGATCGTTTCATACAAGTGCACAGTAGCCTTATACCCTCTCTGTTTACAAGTACAGGGTATAACAACATTTGAACAATGGCATTTTGGCAAGCTTTACAACGGCTCTTCAGGTTTTTTTTTTATTTTATGACAGCTCTTTTTTGTTGTATTTCTGTAGCAATTGCCCAAAAACAAAAACAAAAACGAAAAATGAATAAATATATAAATCTAACTGAACTTTAATTGTTCATAATTAAGTTTTGTCGTTTTGTGTACTGAATAAAGCCGAGTAAATAAAGACTCGACACATCATTGACAGACGCAACAATTGTATTATTTTTTTTTTATCGAGTCCGAAACTCGAAACTCCAACTCAAAGTCGAACTGCTGCTTCTGCTGCTGCTGCTGCTGCTGCTGCTGCTGCTGCTGCTTCTTCTTCACCATCTTCATCTTCTTCTTCTTTGCGTGTTTTTGGGCAACTTTCGCACTCGAAACGGACCACTTGAGCTTTAAAGCGTTAATTGAATCATTTGTCGGCTTCTCAACGGCCAGAGACATTAACTGTCACGCCGAGGCACCCTGTGTGCGAGGTACCCTGTAACCTCACTAAAATGAAGAAATGTCGACTGCAACCGACTGCACAATACCCTAGGAATTAGCCATTGCATCTGTCAAGAGGAGCCCGCTTGACGACTCTCAAACTGTGTTGCCCAAAGCGAAGGCTGTCAAACTGGGCGTGGCCGCAATGTTTTCTGGCTCACACAATATACCCCTTTGGCGCTCTGCGAACAGGGTATACAAAGAAAGAATGCTTCAGGTATGTTCGTTGTGCGCTGTGAGAATCGCACGTCAAAATATTTGCAAAACAAAGCTGCAAGTTGAAGGACAAACAGGGAAGGACATGCACACACACACACACACACACACACACACGCACACACACAGACGACTGTAGCCAAATGATCGCCAGCTGAAAGTTGTTTATGCCTAATATGAAAACTATGCCAGCATATCAGGTTACCAGGTAGCATCCATTATCATCATCATCATCATCATTGTCATCATCATCATCATCATCGCTATGCTCATTATAAATAGCTTAGAGGAAATTCAATATATTTCATATTTTGACAGGCCTCGAATTGTATTTTGGATATTTCTTATTGGCATTGTCCCGTCCGCTCCCCACCCTCCTAATTGCAAAGTTAATTAACAATAAGCAATTGAAGAAGAAAAAGAGAGAAAAAATTCGCATTAAAAATGCTCACAGCATGAATCATGCACGTTTCCCATTCCACATTCCATCCTTCCAGCCAGGATCGCGCGCACAACCTGCGCAGCAAAATATCAAATTACTCCACGCCGCATTCTCAAGCTACGCAGTTGCCCGCGCTCGATCGCTCGCTCTCCCACGGCCAGCTATTTGTTTCTAGGCGCTCGCTCTCTATCCTCTCTCTCTCTCTCTCTCGCTCACACATGCTCGCTAAACGTCGCCAGACTGCGTGGCCGCTGCCTCAGACAAAGAGACGGCGGCGACGGCGAAGTTGTTGTAAATGCACACAACTAAGATTGTTGTTGTTGTTGTTGTTATTGGAGCTTTGGCATTTCGATTGTTTAATAGACTTGCGGCGAAAAAGCTCGCGCGTGGGGGCTGACGTTGCGGCTTCTTAAGTCGCGTGTGGGCGTGAGAAAAACCGTTTTGAGGCGAATAACAAAAGCACCGTTGTATGGGCGACTACTTGCCAATTGTAGGTCGCCTTGCTTGTTGTTGACGTTATTGTGTTTTTGTTTCGAGATCAGCTCTGGCAACTTGTCGCTGCAGTTGCCGTTCGCCGCAGTCGCAGCTATTCCAAGCTGCGCCGTTGTAAACAGTTAATTTTGGCCATTTTAATGGCAAAAGTTCGGCAACATTTTAATTAGACGGCTTTTTTAGTGTGCGCCCCACAAACAAGAACGAACGAACAAACGAACGAGCAACAACAACAACCACTGCTGCTCGTAGTTTTTACAACTCCTGCTAGTCTCGGTTCAGTTTTTTTTTTTTTTTTTTTGGGCTATAAATTGGCGTCCTTCATTGAACGAGCCGAAAGCTGCCGCTGCGCTGCCGCTGTCGTTGCCGTAGATCCCACCCCATCAACGGACACAGCAGCGTTAGCGGCAGCGGGCGGCCAGCACCGCAAACAATACAAAATGGGCACCACACACACACCAGCAAAGGGGCACCAACACACGCGCAGCTCGGCGCACGCACACAATGAAAACTGGTCGAACGACTGGAAGATTTCCAGGCCAACTGGAAGTATTGCGTGTGCTGAAGCGGCCTAGCTAGCTAAACATTGGTGCACAGCAGCTGTGCTGCTCGCACGCACGGCATGCTGCTGCGCACATGCGCCATATTGAGCTCACACGCTGCGCAGGGGAAATTGTCGTTCCGACGGGCTCGCTGCCTGGCATTGGGTGTGCGAGCGGCACAGCTAGCTGTGCGGCAGTCGGCAGACGCCGCCCCTGATGCTGGTGTTGATTTACCGTTGCGCGCCAGCGACGCCGACAGCGCAGCTGCGGCGCAGCGACGACAGTGGCGACAACGTCGACAACGTCGCTGCCAAGGACCAAGTCAGGCAACAAAATCCCGTTGCCGTTGCCGTTGCTGTTGCCGTTGCCGTTGCCGTTGCCATTGCCCGTGCACGTTGCATGCCACCGTTGGATGGGCCGCCGTTCTCGCGCACACAGCAACTTTCTAGCCAGGTCCCAACCACCAACGCTGGAGCAGGCATCGGCGTAGTCGACGACGACGGCAACGACGACGACGACGACGACGACGACGACGATGGCGACGACGACGATGGCGACGACAAAACTCCTGCTGCACATTAAGTCAGGCAACAGTTTAACGTGGAAATTATTGCGAATTTGTTGTGTGTTTTTGCGACAGGCGACAGGCGACAAAAAAAAAAACACGCGTGATAAACGCGAGCGAGTTTCCAACAACAAAAGCAGCAATCATTTTTTTAGTGTTAAGTGCAGTTATTCTCGATTGTTATTGTTGGCGGCCTACAGATAGCAATACACACACTCACACACACACACGAGCAGCCGGCATATTAGCTCAGAGCGAGAGAGAGGGAGAGCGAACGCGCTAAAGAGAGCGCGCGTGGTCAAGCTTTGAAAGCCGTTAAATTAAAAGCGAACATAACAAAAGCAGCAACAACAACAACAACAACAACAAGATTCAAGTAATTTGCAGGCCATCTCAAGGCAGAAACAAAAATAACAGTTGAAAGCGTTTGCATTTTCGAACTCGAATTCGCACAAGTTTCTAATAACTAATTAGGAGCGACAGAGATAGAGGCTGAAAGAGCGCGCGCTTGAAAGCTAGACGGGGGGAGAGAAGGCGGGAGAGAGAGAGAGCGTGCGATGCCGCAGCGTTCGCCATTTGCCATACAAGAGCTGCTCGGCCTGGCCGTTGCGGCGGCAGCAACAACAACAACAACAGCAACATGTGACACAAAACCAACAATTACAACAACAACAACAACAACAGCAGCAGCAGCGGCAGCGGCAGCAACATGCGAAACGGCAACTGATTTAACAACAGCCGCAACAACAACGGCAACAAGCATCGCGCGCGAAACGCCAACGCCGCCAAAGATAACAACAACATCAACAACAACATCAGCGGCAGCGGCAGCCAACACGACGCACTACAACAACAGTGCAGCAGCGGCAACGACAACAATAACAGCAGCAGGCAGCTTGGCAACATTGGAGCAACAACAACATTTTAGGGATCACCAACAACAGCAACAACAACAACAACAACAACAGCAGCAACAACAGCTGACAATGGCCGCCGCCTCGCGCATGGCCTATTTTAATGCACACGCTGCTGTGGCCGCTGCATTTATGCCACATCAGCTGGCCGCTGCAGTGCATCATCATCATCATCATCCGCATTCGCATCCGCATACGCATCCGCATCCGCACCACCATCCGCACCACCCACACGCAGCGCATACGCATCATACGCAACAGCAGCCGCCGCCACCGTCGTCAGCAATGCAAATGCCACCGCACCACCCACTGCTGCATGCGCAGGGTAAGCCATTAGCCACCCCCCCCCCCCCTCCCCATCAACAGCAACCAAAAAGCCAGCCGAATAGCAGCCAGTGGCTCAATTGCTGTTGTCACAGTTACTGTTACAGTTACGATTACAGTTACAGCTCGAGTAATCGGCAACTGGTTTTGTCACCTGCACCACGCACACAGACACAGACACGCACACATACTCACACAATAGACGGACAAAGCGACGAGCCGCTTAGTTTGCATAAAAAAGAAATTAATCAACGAGCTATCGACGAGCCCATCAGACACACACGCACACACACTCACAGTCTTTGGCTCAAGCTGCAGCTTTTGAGCCACTCCACACCACCTCCACCTCCGCCTCTCCACTCAAGTTGAGCTGCTAATTGCAATGGCAATTGCTTATATGTGAGTGTCTGTCTGTCTGTGTGTGTGTGTGTGTGGGTGTGTGTGTGTAAATGTGCGAAAGGGAAGCGACAAACACAGCCACAGTGGGGCCATTAATTAACGTAAATGCAAATATAAATTATGGCGGATTAACGCAACCAATATAAAACAAAAGCAAATAAATATATTATGAGAGATTTAAAAAAAGCTAGACGGACGACATACTTGACATAGCATGTTTTTGAATGGTTTCACTACAGAAATAAATAAAAAGGTATAAATAAACCTTATATGTGTTCAACTCAATATTTGTTTATCATATCATTTTTTTATGGTTGGACAAACTTCGCGAAGGATATTTCGAAGCATTGACAAAAACAGAAAAAAATATGTGAATGTCTACGAACAAATTCGTTCATTAATTAAAAATATGTATGTTTAAGAAATAATTCAATTTACTTTGCGATCTGTCAATAGTCAATATATTTAACTGTCTTTCAATGTTCGAATATCCCTAAGCTATTGACGTTAGAATAATTCTTTGTGCGTTCCAGCAAAAGTTGATATAAAAAAAAGATAGTCTCCATGTCACAAAATAAGTAGTAGCAGAGAGCTGTATATTAGTATAGCTTCAATCTAAATAAATTTGTATTTTATTTGCGCTACTTAAAAATGATGTTACATTTAAAGGTTTAAATTATTTTTGTTCCACTTACCGTAAAAATAAGCACTTGGCATGTTCAGGCAGCAGTTGAAAATTCAAATTCAATTCATTTGGTACTTTGCCTCACTGTAAATCGCGACTTTGTCTGCGGATCAGCAGCAAAAGATACGAGCAGTGGACGAAAACGCGGGAGAGGCAGTGAGAGCTTAAGTCGAGCAAGTGGCAATATCACCGCAGCGAGACGGGCAGCAACAACAACAACAACAACAGCAGCCGCAGCAGCAGCAGCAGCAGCAAACAGCAACTGAAGCTCGCACAACGATTGACTCTCCCACACACGCACACACACACACACTAAAACAAACTCATTGGCATATACACATGCACATACTAATGCATGATGGCAGATAATCTGGCTGCTTGAAGTGCCAACTGTTATTGTTGTTGTGGTTGATGCTGTTGTTATTGTTATTATTATTTTAATTAGCGTTAAAATGTCATCGTCATCACTCAGCATGTTGTTGTTAGTGTTTCACTGTGCCAAATTGAAGCTTTGCTTGCCAGTCACTCGCCCTGCACGCTCGCACTCCGTCCCACACACACTGAACGAGCACAATACCGCACGCACTCTCGCACTCGCACTCGCACTCTTCAACTCTTCCGCTCTCCCGCTCTCCTGCTCTTCTGCTCTCTACATTGAGCGCTCGCTCGCAAAGTTCAAATCTAGTTTTGTGTGTTAGAAACTTCCGGACGATATTTCTTTCGAATTGCTTGCTTTCTCTTTTCTTACTGCATTGTTGTTCTTATTATTTGGTTCGTTTATTAATTGTGCATGCATGTACATGCGTGTGTGTGTGTGTGTGTGTGCTTGTGTATTTATTTATCGCATATTTTGTGTGCTTTGTGCCGTGCTCGCGTAATTTGTTTAATAAATGTGAGAAAGAACTTTTGGCGCAGCTTTTGCTGCTGTTGGTAACTGTTATTGTTGGCGCTTTTTTATTCGCGTCATCTTATTTAATTTTGCATATTGTTGCTGCTGCTACGTTCTGTTTTGCCGCTTCTTTGTGTTTGTGTGCGTGCGTGTGTTTGTGTGTGTGTTTAGTGTGTGTGCGTTGTTTGTCTCGCTGATTTTTAACACTTTTGTTGATTTTTCCCATTTGCCCCTTTCGTCAATTAAAGTCGCGTCAAGTTTGGGGCCAAAAGCCCAAACGGATTTCCTGCCATATAGCCACCCAGTGGCGCCCCAACCCCGCCCCCCGTCAGCCCCTCTCGACAAACGGTCACACTCAGTCGGGCCATTAAGTGCCTTTGATCTTTTACACAATGTGCGAGCGGACAAATCGGAAAATTGTTACCACAAGCACAGCACAAGCCATTTATGTATATACACATTGCATACATATATACATATATGTACATATGTATGTGTATATACATATGTGCATATCTATATTTGTATATAGGCATCTAACTGTGTATGTGCACATAGATAAGTGTTTCTTTTTTGTCATTTAATTGACAATTTTCACTTTGGTTCGTGTCGCTTTGTTGTGACAGTCGTTTTGATGTGTTTGCACACACTCACACACACACAACACACACACAAGCGCGATTTGTTATTGCAAATTGAAAGCGAGAAGCTTTTTAACTTTGAAGCGCCATCTGTTGGGCATTGGCGGGGTCACGTCCCTGCATTCTTTCTTGGCAAATTACGTTTTGCCTCAAATTAACCATTGCCATATTTTTGAGGCGCTTGCGAAATGTGACAAAAAAATAAAAAATTATTCGGAAATATTTAACGAATGTGAAATTAGAGAGACCGAATACCAAGGTTTATATACCCTGTTTTTGTGCAAATGCAAGTAACAAGCGGAAGCAAGCGTCTATATAAGATGTATATATCTTTGGTCGGGAGAACGAGCTGAGTGAATTTCCGTTCGATTGATTATGGAGACCAAAAAAGCGAGAGACTTGACTTCCCCCTTAATATAAGTAGAAAGAGTTTCTCATTTTCTCGTCAAATTTTCATAATATTGTAAAAAACCGATTGTAAGACATAGTTTTTTAAGCATAGCTAGAAATTTGCATGAGTTAGATACATGAACTTGTATACATATGTATGTTGTATGGAATTTGCAGATTACAAATATTTCACTTTTTGTATAGCTTCTCCCACAAAATCTACTATGGGGTAAAAGTTTAAATTTCCTAAATATCAGACAACAGATCGCTACAAATAAATTTTACACAACTAATCATAGAAAAACACAAGGTTATGAATGTACAAATGAGGTTTTACAATGTTGGGCGGAGCTATGCAAAATATGAAATATGTTAGATCTGCGTAGACTCCAACAGGAACTACATACCAAAGTTTGTGTCTCCAGCTGTTATAATCCTCGAGATATGCATATATGAAAAAAACATATTCAATATTGATATCTATCGATATGTGTTATTATCGAAAAAAAAATAGGAGGACACGGAAAGTTGTATTTTATTGATAACTTAATCTAAAAGCTTAGAAAATCTTTAACATATATTTCAATGTTGCAATCAGAGTTATAATAATACAATAATTATGTAGAGAACTGCTGCTAATTGCTGCATGTCAATGACGGAGTGAGGCAAGTCAGGTCACATGTTGCGAGTGCCCTTTGATATTTGAGACAGTTTGCTAATAGCCTCTGCCTTTGCCTACTAGCCCAGGCCCCCTTTCCCGCCCACCATTCTGCTGCCCCAGTTTGTTTGGCTGTTAGAAATATTCTTAATTGTGCGCGTTGGCAATGTGTGCGGTCTCTATATAGACAAGAGAGCCGACTTCCTTCACTATATAGACACCAGACCTCGGGCAGACAACTTGCTTTGACTTTGCTTTGATTTTGCGTTGACGTAAATGAAAGAAAAAAAAAAACACAACACAACGAAAAAAATAATAAGTGCGTATGGCTGACACTGACTGCGCAATACGCTGTTTGCAGTGTAATTTTGAGTCTGCTTTGCTTATTGCTTATGTGACTCTTAGACTGTAATTAATGAGCTGTGACTGTCAAACTGTGACTTTAGGATATGCCGAGAGGATAGTCTATATGCACCATGTTATATAGTCAGCCAGTCATTGCTGTAAGCCAATAAACTCTTCTTCACACTGTGTACAGGGTACAACAAGCAAAGAGGGAATAGGAAACTAGAACGAAAGGCCATCTTTAGCGCGCCGAAGATAAGCTACACTTGCAGGCATATTCTCTGGCATCTGTCTACAGGAATAATTAATATCCAACCAATTATTTCTAAAGAAGCCAAATGATTCGATTTTGCATATATGTGAGGAGAAGGGGAAAGCTCTGATTTTGCCAAAGTCGACAAAGATATCTGAAAAGAAACAAAACAAAAAGGTTTCCCGACTATATCTTTCAGACTGGGAGACAGACAGGCTCGTTATGACTGATTAAGAATATATAAATATACATTCATACATACGGATGTGTTACACACTTATTGATAAAATTGTAATACCCTCTAAAAAAAGGCATAAAACACGCGCGCACACACACACACACACACACACACACACACACACACACACACACACACGAATTTCGTCGCCCTTCGCTGAGGCGTTTGAGCTGTGCGCGACTGCGGCCCAACTTCAGCCTCAACCACCAGGGCACCCCTACCCCTCGGTCCAGTCAAGTGCCCCAAACGGCGCCCGCCCGCCCCCTGGCGCTTGCCCTTGCCGCCGCCGCATGCCACTTGTGTGCATTGTCTGAGGTGTGAACATTTTTACGACGACGTTGCCAACACGAGCGCAATTGCTGCTGTTGCTGTTGTTGTTGCTGCTGCTGCTGCTGCACTTTAGAAGGCGACCTCGAAGGCCCCGCCCCGCCCTGCCCCGCTCGCCAACCCATCAAACCTGCGCCGCTTTGATTTTTGTGAATTTCTTTTTTTTGCAAATTTAA